GTTTTTATATTCTAGACTTAAGCCTAAATGTTCAACATTGATAATTTCATCAACTCAGCTTAAACAATTTGCATTTTAAAACAGATCAGGATTATGTTGCTTGAAATATTTAAGTTTTCTATCCTCATTAATCTTTTCCAGTTGTAATCCATACAATCGCAAACATCTAACTCGCAGTGCTTTTCATCAAGATGTGAAATCATGATCTTACTTACAAAATCACGACATTTCCCATCAAATTCAAAAGATATAAGTGGAATTGTAAAACCAATGAACTTTCTCTATCAATATATATATATACATATATATATATATATATATATTCACGACTAAAAACAGGGTCGCAAGCCTACTGAAGTGATTAACAATTAAGAACTTGTTCAACGACTCCCGTTCTCTAACTTGACGCTTTCCTATGTAATGGATACCAATATGCTTAAGACTGAAAGATATAATATCAAAACGTTTCCCATAATGCCTCAAATAAGCAGTACCTAATTCAGCTTGCGTCCGTGGCCTTAAATCTATTTTAGTAACTTTGGTGATTACATTAAGTTTGTTTTAATTCCGACAATTTCAATTAATCTATAAGAGTACATGTATTTTGCTCGAGAGTTCTAACTGTTCTTAATTGTACAGTAACTTGCGTGCTCAGGCTATGCAACTGAAGATTTTAAGTTCGGTGCTCTTTAACTCAAAAACGCACCCCATACTTTGAGGTCATGGGTGCGCTATAAGTGTAACAGGTAGATCTCACTTTTCGATTCCACAATAGTAGAACCAGAGATTTCGGTGGGCGTTGTTGACTATCTGCCTTTCCCCTGCCCCAAGTAGCACAACGGTATTTCTGCGTTCTTATACTTCTAGAAACCGGGTTTCGATACCCTTGGTGGGCTGAGCACAGGTACCCCTTTGTGTAGCTTTGTTGTGCTTAATAACAAACAACAACAGCCCTTCCCCTAGTCTATCGGCTCAAAATTAGGAACAGCAGGAATGAATAATCGATCTCAGAGTATTTGACTACATGTTATTTAACATCACATGTCAAAAATGAGCGATATCGGTTAGTAAATAATATGAGATGTGAGTGATCTTATTGTGCTGCCATAACTAGACAAGCTTTGGATTTGCCACAAATAGGTCAGTGCTCACCAGTGGCGTCATTCTTGCATGTGTACAAGTCAACGCAACAAAATAACGTTCACAGGTATTTCACCAAGTTGCAGCTTAGTTAATCGCCGAATTATGTGACCATGGTTTACTGGAAAGTTGTAGATTGCAGATCAGACTCTAGACTCTAGCGAATTGGTGGTGACAGCGTTTCTCGCGAATGAGCCGCCTCAACTACGGCGAGAGGAATAACGTCCGAACAACATGATATGAGGACGGCATTTCGAAGACGAAGATGATTTTCGTTTACCTTGTCCTTGTGAGTCCTCGGGATTCAAACGTGGACTATTTACCTGAACAAAGGAGCAATTTCCCATCTCAACTTTTGTAAAGATGAAAGAGGAGAAAGGAAGCTACTGACCGTAACCGTGAATATGAGAAATACATCATGGTTATCGTGAAACGCCAAAACTTGCAAACAAGTTAAATTAATTTCATCTTCATTAATTTCCATAGTTTCGCCAATTAGCATTTCTCTTTGTTGAAAGACAGTGGGAAAGACCAAACAATGATAACATGTAGAGCTATCAGGTGGGTCCACGTGTAGAGCTATCAGGTAGGTCCACGTGTAGAGCTATAAGGCAGGTCCACGTTTAGAGCTATCAGATTTCCACGAAGAAAAGCTGGAACATTTTTTTCCACACGGAGTGTCACAAAAACAGCTCTAAGACAGTTTAAATTACACTAACACGTGTTACCATTTGCTCAATAATCTGATACTTATTGCATCGCGTTTTTAAATCATTGACGAAACAAAATTTGTTGAAAGCTTGTCTAACTGAAAACAATAATAAATACTATATAAAAGCACACATAAGCTGTCTTGAATATAGTCAAAAGAAAAATGTTGCTTTATTTTCTCGCAACCGTGCAGGTATTCACCGGGTTGTGACAAACCCGTATGCCGACCTCCCCTTTTCTCACTTTTCGAAAGCTAATAGCGTGTATGCCAGGTTTGGTGACAATCAATCCAGCGGTTCTCCAATCATAAAAGTATACAACACATGAGGAAGACATCAGGGGTAAGATCGTATTGCCAACCCTTATATGGTGTTCTAATGACAATCGTTTCAGCAGTTCGTTAGTTATTAACGGACTCATACATACAAATTTGTGAACAGAATCAAATAGCATTTATGTTAAGTTTCTAACTTGTTTTGCCATCTATATAATTTTTCTATTCTTTTTTTTTTCAGTTGAATGTTATAGAAAAAAAAAACTGCTGTAGTAACAATTGAAACAACCTTCTCTGTCTCAAGTAGAGGCAAATTTTCTGCAATTGTAACCAGAGACTAACTTTTTCCGGCCTCAACTACAGTCACATAATTAATAACAGAGATGGCACCTAATGTAATTTTTATCAAAAACATTTTCTTCTTAATCAAGTAATTTTTTTTAATATTTACTATCATTTTGTAATAATGTTATAGACGACACCCGTCTTCCTACGACATCAAGAGACACACTCGGTGAGTAAATGTAAATTGTTACTACAACTAATTTTGATATTTCTATGCATTTGGGTCTAACAAAAAATCAACAGTTACTCTCAGCAACAGTTAATCTCAGATTTTTTGTTGTAACGGTAAATTTACCGTTACAACAAAAAAAGGCCTTCAGGAAATTCGAATGTCTGCGCCTGGCATGGCCGGGTGGTTAGAGCATTTGATTTACAATCTGCGAATCCCCCACACCGAACATGCTCACCCTTTCAACCGTGGGGGCGTTATAATGTGACGGTCAATCCCTTTATTTGTTGATAAAAGAGTAGCCCAAGAGTTGACGGTGGGTGGTGTTGACTAGCTACCTTCAAAACAAACCAATCTCAAGTCTTTGTAGGAGATGTGATTAGCAACCCATTACAATTATGTTGAATAAGTAAACTAATTTTTTCTGCCTTTCTCTTTAATGAGAAGCCCAAGCTTTTGTAAATACTAAAATACAAGAAAAACATTCGTTCTCACCATAAAATCAGAGAGACATGTTCAAATTCTCTGGCGAAAAAAAAATTAAACAAGATCCCCACTCGTTAAAATGTTTCCATTGTAGGATATCATTACCAAATTTGATTTTAAAACAAATAGGGAAATATGAAATAAGAGTGATTCGAAGTGTAAGTTACGACTTAACAAAAGTCTTGTAACGTAATAATTGTTGCACGTAAATCATAATAGTTAACGCGAAATTTTGACGTGATCGTTTCGTGTGTATTGTTTGTTGTGGATTTCGCGCAAAGCTACACGAGGGCTATCTGCGCTAGCCGTCCCTAATTTAGCAGTGTAAGATTAGAGGGAAGGCAGCTAGTCATTACCTCCCACCGCCAGCTCTTGGGCTACTCTTTTACCAACGAATAGTGGGATTGACCGTCACTTTATAATGCCCCCACGGCTGAAAGAGCTAGCATGTTTTGGTGGGACGGGGATTCGAATCCGCCACCCGCAGATTGCGAGTCGAGCGCTTTAACCACCTGACCATGCCGGGCCTTTCGTGTGTATAAAAAACTATCAGTAAAAATCAAATATATTTCTACTGTCACAAATATTATATGGGAGTTACGTTTAACAAATAAAGTTTATAAGAGTGATGAAAACTTTAGTAGCATATTATTTTATTATAACTTTTACTATTGAATTTATGTTAACAAATTTCGGGCTAGTTATGTTTTATGTTATTGCGTGTATAGTTAACCATTTGCTAAGTTTTGTTAGTTTAATTCTGGAATGCTCTGACTGTTTTACTAATTTATCAATAATAATCTGGTACGGACTTCTCATAAAGATGGCTGATGTTTTTTCTATAATAACGCCATATTAAGCTTGCAGAGTTTCTAATGCAAGTGTAAGTTTTTATGTAGCAACACTGAGCACTACGCAACTGTAGGCTAATACAAATCATTTTCCGCAGTATAATGCTCAATCATCCATAATAGCGTTGACCAATACTTTTCGCCTCAATACACTAAAACCAAGTTTCGATACCTGTGGTGGGCACAGCACAGATATACCTTTCTGTAGCTTTGTGCTTACTACAAACTCAAATACACTGAAATACGTTTTTCATGATTGCATGAAACAGAAAACAATTTAATCCATCGTACTTTCGATATTGCAGTTTCTTCATATATGTACATACACGAAAATAAGAATTTTTATCATTGCGTCAAAATAGTTTTATCTGTTATACTTTTCTCACTTGTAATTCCCCTCCGCATATATATATATATATATATATATATTATTTACGTTAAAGTTAGCTGGTCAAAATGAATCACAAAAGTTCCAGTTTTTTAAAAGTTCCTTTATCAGTTATTTTAGTAGGAAAATGGCGAATTTATACTATATGTAAAATGTAATTAGTTTGATTAATCAGTTATGTATCTTTTTTTAACAAAAAACACTTAACTGTATGACTTACTGAAATTCTGTTCGAAATTACTACAGGATTCACTAACATGATTAGAAATGAAATATTTATTATCATTGAATCTTAACCTTTTACACCAAAATAACACCATTTTTAGGATGGCTTGAAGGCTGTATGTGCCAAATAACCATACATCTCTCTGGTTGTCATGCAAATGCAATACTTTGTTTTATTTGTTCGTTTATTTTAGAGCAAAGCCACATTGAGTTATCTGCTGCGTTCACTGCGGGGGGAATCAAACCCCGAATTTTAGTGTTGTACGTCCGTAGACTTACCCGCTGTTCCACCGGGGACTGCAGTAGAAAATTTTGAATTCACCTAAGGGAATTGACGAAACCTCGGACTATCATTCTTTTTCTGGCGTGGATTTCCGTATTAAAGCAATATAAAATCATATGAAAAGCTACCTGGTATAGTTGCTCCATCTCCAGTGTATGTGCCGCTTTTCAGCTATCCAGAGTTCCCAAAGACGAAAACCGGCGAATAGCCAAAACCTAGATTTTTTTATTTTCATTCATCATCATCTTTCTTCAACAGACCTAGCGCCTATCTAGTTCTAGAAGTAACGGTAATTTTATCAAAATTTAATAGATCAAAACAGTTTTTAAAATCTTTAACTATATATTTTATTATTATTCTATGCAAAAACTTAAAAAATGAAAAAAAAAATCACAATTCTAGTGTAAACGATGTTATTACCCTTTGAATTTGGCTTTTTTACAGAAACCTGATGTTTCTTGAAGAAGCTTAAGTACAGGGTGAAACATGAATTACCATCCAATAATATATGAACGTTAGATAACTGTAACATATAGAATACTCAATACTTTGTACACCACACAATCGGTATCTTTAGGAAGCCAACCCTTATATTATGTATGAGTAAAAAAGAAAAAAAAGAAAATTAATACACATACAGGTCATCAGAAGCTAGTTATGAAGAGCTACCTGGTATAGTCGCTCTATTTTCTGTGTATATGTTGCTTTTCAACAAATCAGAGCGTCTCAAAGTCGAAAAATCGGCGGATAGCTAAAAACCTAGATCTTATTTTCGTTCATCATCATCTTTCATCAACAGGCCTAGCGCCTACCTAGTTCTAGCAATAACTATAATTTTATCGCCATATTATATGCAAAGTTTATAAATCTTTAGAATACACTCGGTAACCTAGTAACCCATGAACGCCATCTTATAAGGAAAAAAGTATCGCTAAATAAAAAAGATATGTAGGGCTGGCTACTAAATTGAAAAAAAGGGAACCAAACAAGATAGGGATAAAAGTGGACATATCAATTGATCCGGTTAATGATCAGATAGCAGACTAGGCCGTCTCGACTTTATATGGAAAATAAAATCCGTATATTACGTAGCTTTTATATTTAGTGATAATTTGTTTCTTTATACTTTTATATATGTGTGTTATATTATGTTATATTGTTATACAACTAAACAGACCTAGATATATCTTATTTGTATTTATTTATCTTATTGTATGTATTTTATACAATTTTGATAATATTTGCATTGATGGCTCAGTAGATATATTTAATCCTAAATCTCCTAAGCTGGCCGAACCTCGTGAGATATTTTTGAGATTACCACCTAAAGTATGGATAACATCGAGGGTAACCAACTGGAGAATCTATGTATTCTAATAATTATACTTTTTTTTATGATATTGCATACTTGCTACATCGAGAGTAACCAACTGAAGAATCTATGTATTCTAATAATTATACTTTTTTTATCATATTGCATACTTGCTACATCGAGGGTAACCAGCTGAAGAATCTATATATTCTAATAATTATACTTTTTTATGATATTGCATACTTCTAACATCGAGAGTAACCAAATGAAGAATCTATGTATTCTAATACTTATAAATCTTATGACTTGCATACTTCTATGGTTTTTACTGCTTTGATCTCGATTATTGATAATTCATTAATAAGTTTCTCAAATGCTGAAACGAACTTAGAAAGTGTTGTGTTGGGATGTGCGTAATGACTGATATATTTATCAAACTAATTAATTTATTTGCTTATACTAGAACGACCCCCTGACGAGAAGAAACAAAAGCTTAGCCTGTCTGTATATTTCTAGTCCAATCTAATTAAGGTGTGTTATTTCAAACTTTTTCACTATTTTTGGTTCTTGTCGGAACCTATATTTTAACTCTTTTTTTTTTTTACCCAAATTTATTTGTCTAGTGTAAAATTTCCGGTTTGTGTAATAAAACAACTAGTTTTGTTTTTTACGCGGAAAAAATGTTTATCATACATTTGCACAACCACTCTATGGTATGAAAACAGAATAATCTTTTAAAACGGGAGATGAAATGATCGTGTTGATTTAACATTGTAAAAAGTGTGTTTATGTTATAAAAGGGCGTTTTCATTTCTATAGTCTGAACGTTTTAACACTTCACATTACCGTAACAAGTATTTTATGTTGATAAAAAGACATTCCTACTTTATAAGTATGAACTGTCAACACCGTATATTAAAGTAACAAGTGTGATTATGTTAATAAAAAAATGGTTGTATTTTACAAGTATGTGTGTTATAACACCGTACATTATAATAACAAGTGTGACTATGTTGTTAAAAGGACGTTTTTATTTTACAAGTTTATGCTTGTAAACTTTACATTATATTAACAAGTGTAATTATGTGAGAAAAAAAGATGGGTTTATTTTATAATTATGTGCGTCATGACACCGTACATTATAATAACAAGTGTTGATAAAACGACGTTTTTATTTTGAAAGCCAGTACGTTTTAACACCGTACGTTATCGTCTAAATAATGTTAGAAAATTAAAATCTTGTTCTTCAAAAATGAAAATTCATAAATAAAACGTCATTTGCTTCGTACCTTTATTGATATTTAATGTACTTGGAAAATACTACACTCTTACTCTGAAAAGTTTAATTTGTTTTACCAAAAAATTGTCCATAGGTTATTAACCTCCACTGCATTGAGAACCCATGCAGCGTATTCAAATCCTCATACATTGACAATGGCTGATATAATGGAAAAATACTTTCCTGACATACACTGAATAGTTTAACATGCCCTGACACTTATGGCCTTGCTGTATATTGTACTCCTTTACTAGCCACACATCGCATGATGTGATGAAACTGATAAGTTATATTGTAAATTGCACAACATTTGACATGCATCGTAGAGATGTCCTTGTTATACTTTCTTATTTCTATGATTGTGTTTCTCGTGTGAATGAATATGATGAACTTTTGATCATTTAAGGTTAGTAGCTGTCTGTTAATGACATTCATTTATTTACTCTTTACTGATATATATATATGTAATACACGAAACAATACAAGGACAAGTAAAGTTATGCTGATATAATCTCTAATTCATGTGCCACAAATAAACAAGTTGATCTTTCCGATCTATTTAAAACTGCTCGAAAGATTTCTACGATACACAGTTCAATGTTAATTATAGAAGATTACATCAAAAACGAATTTCTTAACACATATACAAACACTTCAACGACTCAAAAACTAAAAGCAGACTTTTCTAAGATTGTGGTTTCGTCGCATTTTATGTTTTAAGAAAAAGAAGCGTAATTCCAATTAAATGTCCTGTAAAATGAAAGAGTTAACTTATGTCAAATGACTAAAAGAGAAACATGCTAAAAAACAATTCATATGTATTTATACACAGGAAATCAAACTAGTATAACATAAGCAGCTTTAAGTGTTTTGGTAATCTTTAATTTGCTCAACTAACCCAGTATTAGATGTCAAAGCCTATGATAAAGTCCTTTAACTGCGAACTTACGCTTCTATTTTCTTAACTTGAGCTTAATAGACAATTATGATAAGAAAGGGGTTCTAAACAATATTAGTGCTTTGAACTTTGATCTTCTTTAACTAAAGGTTATATAAGCAATGAATGGCCTAACATTTATTTCTTTTTTTAAATATTTAATGACTAATGATATTCAACATTCTATTCATTAGCGATTTAATAATGACGTTTTTAAAATAATCCACTTTAGCAGCATTCCACTTATTAGCGATTTAATAACAGCGTTTCTAAAACAGGCCTCTTTCGCAACATTCCACTTATTAGCGATTTAATAACGGCGTTTTTAAAACAGGCCCCTTTAGCAACATTCCACTTTTTTAGTGATTTAATAACGGCGTTTTTAAAACAGACCTCTTTCGCAACATTCCACTTATTAGCGATTTAATAACAGCGTTTTTAAAACAGGCCCTTTAGCAACATTCCACTTTTTTAGTGATTTAACAACGGCGTTTTTAAAACAGGCCTCTTTAGCAACATTGCACTTTTTTAGTGATTTAATAGCGGCGTTTTTAAAACAGGCCTCTTTAGCAACATTCCACTTTTTTAGCGAGTTAATAACGGCGTTTTTAAAACAGGCCTCTTTAGCAACATTCCACTTATTAGCGATTTAATAATGGCGTTTTTAAAA